TGACAAAAGTATGCATTAATTTTCTAGACAGTATCTCCTCCCAAATTAAATGACACTGTATAAAAATTTGCTGGAAAAATGTTACAAAACTGAACCCTGTACATTTACACTTGAGTCCAAGCCATTCTGGACATGGCGGGAACCCACAGTTCGGTTACCTTTCCCGCTCACTGCTTTCTCCTCTTGAGGGTCATGACTGGAGTCTGTGTCATTTGAGTGGTGTGTGAGAGAGTTTTCACTGCCCGTGGGAGAGTCTAGACTTTCATGACCCACACTGAGCTGGTTCACGTAACCACTACCTCCTCTGCCAGTTCTTTCCTCTGAGCTGTCGGAGGCCTTATTCCCACTCCCTGGAGAAGAAGCAAAGTCATCCTCAGGTGTGCTCCCCTCCCTGTGAAATCCAGACCCAGACGTCCTCTGACGGGAGGAACTGCCGTTACTTGGTCCATTTGCCAGACGACTGCAGTCTTTATTTGTGATCTCCGTCTGCTCTCCCGGCTCCAAAGATGTAGTCCTGCTGGTGCTTGGAGCAGAGGCTTGAGACTGCTGCTGCTGGTACTGAGCCAACTGCTGGCGAGTCTCCTTCAGTTGCTGCTGAAGAACCAAAATGGTGCTCTGCATGCCCTCTACTTCCTCATCAAGCTGAATGATGAAGTCATTCAGTTCATCCTGACTGCTCTTAAGCTCCTCACTATATTTCTTCTGTAAAACCAACTCTGTTTCAAGCTGTGCAATACGGCCCTGGGACAGCTGCCTTCCCAGCTCCTGGTTCTCCTGGATAAGCATTCGACACTTCGCCATTAACTTTTTACCTGTTTGGCTCATTTGAGTTTTGACCCAGAAGTTCAACAACAATCACGAAGTCCACAGTCTTATTGGCAAAAATGATATACAGTGTCTCTAAGTCACTGTGTCAAGGTTAAGAGCGATGCGTATTCCGTTTTTACATTTAACTGGAATTTTACATGTTCAATTCATGATTTGAAATCTCTATAGGTTTTCAATCCTCCAATTGTCTGAAGACACAGTGTGTCACAGACTAAAGACTTCTGTTTTTCTCCCTCTATTTTCTTCAAACAGAAACATTTCTCAAGTGTCTAAATGTTCTAGAAGGGGAATTTTTCGAAGGTGGCCTCTTCTTCGGAATAGTCCGACAGCATCAGGCCTCTTTTTGGGAAGAGGTTCTTCGTTGGTCATTTTGAATCCGAGGAGTCCCCGCAGGGCGCGGCCGCAGTCACTCTTGCCCGCGGCTAGGCCCGGCTGGGGGCGTAAGGCGAGGGAGGCCGGCGGCCGCGTCAACCCGGTAGGGGCTTCGGGGCGTGAGGAAACAGATGCAGCTCGCAAGCGCCTCCCTACCCAGTCCTGGAGTCTGGCGCGCGCCCCGCGGCCGCCAGGGCTCACCACTCTCGCTGGGGGCTGGGAGGGAAGCGCCCTAATGTCATTTAATTGGCAAAAGGAGTCCCATGTTTCATATACAGGAATGCAGATTTTCTAAGTCTGAGCTAGATTTAAAAGTCCCATTTTACAGAAGTTTACATAAAATCCACTAGGAGGCTTACTAACATCACTCTTTCTAGAGCCATTGTCTAAAGTCAAGCAAGGAATACCAGTACATTTAGCATCTAGTTCAAATGCAACATATGCAAGTACAGAACAATCATAAAATGTCCCATTAAAGAACTATCATAACCTTGTAACATTTCCATGTTTTAACTTAGATTTACCAACAGCATTTTGAGCAACATTTTAACAAAACCATATAAAGACAAAGCATAAGTATTGCAAACAATTTTAATAGTACTATGAGACAAAACTGTATGAGGCAAAGCATAAGCAATTATGAGCAATGAGCAAAGACATATCAACAGTTGAAGCATAAACATATGTTACCTAAGCAAGTCCCAATCCAGAATCTATGAAAGAAAAGCAAAGTCATATCTCTGTCCAATGATCTTGGTGGGAAACTCCAAAATGATACAGGGAGAAAAACTGATCTTGGGTGGGGGACCTCCAACTGATACAGAGAACTTCCAAATGATATAGGGGAAAAATGATCTCCCGACCTGACCTGGACGAGTTTGTGTTCTCTAAAACAAAGAATGAATTTTAGGAACAAACAGAGGTTATAAGCAGAATATATTTATTGAGGGAAAGAAAGCTCCCGTCCAAAAGAGGGACAGGAGGGGGGCCTGAGTGGGTTGTCCCCAGGAAGCTGTCTCTTCCAGGGACTTTTATAGTGTAAAACCATGTGGGGCTAAGGTGGAGAAAATGGGAACTCACTTAGGTGAACATGGGGTGGGACAAAACTATGGTCAACCAATGGGATTATGACACCATTGCTCAGGCAAAATGGATTAAGCCCAGGACCAAATGGGGTAGCGAGTCATGAGTCATGTAGCAAGCGGCATGAATGTAAAACAGGACTTTATCTGGTAGCCATCAGATAAGGACTTTTCCTGGCTTTCTCAGGGTGAAGATCAATCCTGGATGCTAATCTTTAGGGAGGTCAGCATTTGCTTGGTCTTTGGTCTTAAGGTCTGGCTCACAGCAGGAGACAGTTCCTATCTGTCCCTCTCATGGTTGTAAGGTATCTTGTCTTCTGTGTTATCTCCTTTGAGAGCCTGGCCCTGCCTGACCTCCTATAATATTTTTATCTAATTTGGCTGCCTGCAACAGCAGCACTGAGGCTGAGGCAGGAGGATCGCTGCAAGTTCGAGGCCTGCCTGAGCTATATAGTGAGTTTAAGGACAAGGACAGCCAGAACTATATAGTGAGACCCTGTCTCAAAAAGAAAGAAAGAGAAGAAGAAAGAAATGAGGAAGAGAAAGAGAAAATGAAAAACCTTACTGACAAGTACTGCAATATCAGCATTGGGTTTATACACAAGGTACTATGCCAGGTGTGGTGACACATACCTGTAACCCCATCAGTTTGAGAGGCTCAGATAGGAACTGTAGTTTGAGCCCAGTCTGGGCAACTTAGTGAAAGCCTGTCTCAAAATTTTAAAAACTAAGTAAAGGTCCTGGGGATGCAGCTTGCTAAAAAGGCCCTTGGTTCACACTAGAAGAATTGGGGGAGACATGCCTATTGAATGACTTAATAATAGATTATTTATTATAACAGGTAGCTCTTATTTTTTCTTGATAACCACCCCACTATCTGTGGGATAGGTGAGGAAAGTTAAGGCAATATTGCAGTCAAAATGACTAAAAGAAATACGTGCTGGCTGTGGTAGCACAGAGTGGTAGCATCAGGTACTCCAGACCCTGAGGCAGGAGAATCACAACTTTAAGACCAGCTTATGCAACATAGCCAGACTGGGAAGGGCAGGGCGGGGCTCAAATTCTCAAAAATGAGAAGTAAACAAAGGTCTAGGCCTATAGTGCAATGCCAAGTTCCTGAATTCAATCACAGTACTGAAAAAAAAAGTGGTTAGTACATGGAGTTCATTTTACTATTTTTTTCCACCTTCTAAATGTTTGGAATTTTCTATAATACACAATTTTATTTTATTTTTATCTTTGCGGTATCAGGGATTGAACTCAGGATCCTGTGCTTGCCAGGCAAGCACTTACTCTACTGAGCTATTTACCGGGCAATTTTAAAAGCAAGGTTTTGAGGGATCCTCAATCAGAATAACAATAGGATACAAGTGTTGTGTTTTGTCCTTCTCCCCAGGGACTCTGAAGGTCAGCTTGCATTTGGGAACATCTCAAAATCAAGAAGTGAGAAGCCTCCACCCAAGGAAACGATATTATGGATTTAGTTTTTAGTACAAGCTTTTATCTCTAGCTCTTAATTTTTCATTTTTGAAACAGACTTGCAGTCACTAAATTGCCTCCAGTGGGCTTAAATTTGTGATGATCCTGCCTTTAGCCTCTCAGAGTTCTGCGATTATAGGTGTGTGCCACTATGCCCTGCTTAGACTTTTAAATTGATGTAAGAGTAAGAAATGGATACTGGCCTGCATTCAGAATCTCTCTCTCCCTCTCTCTCGCTCTCTCTCTCTCTCCCTCCCTCCCCCTCTCTCTTC